TATCGCTGACCACCGTTTTTATCACCTTTATTGAAAGGACAGTGCTAAACTTACATTTCCCTGCGTAGCGAAGAGTAAGTGTCTGATTACCTTCTGACCCTCGAGATTGGAGGAATTAGACAAGGATTTGTTGATCAGTTAACAAATGGACTGTAAATGCTTTTGTATTTAGGGGCCCCTCCACCCGACCCACCATTCCCCCTCCCCCCCACCCATCCACTACGCTCATCGTCGACGCATATCCATGATAAACGTGATAAAGCTGATAATTTTCGGTTTTATTCAGCGTTTTTTAGTGTTTATTCTCACGTCTCATGATGCTACGTTGTGCTTCGGTAACGTAATTTGTTTCACAATCAACAATAAACATATGTTCTAGGAACGCTCATGAAAGAACACAAAATCATGAACACAGTATACAATTACAATTTTGCGTTCTCTTGTTGATTTTCGCTGTCATGTCTCGCACTTTCTCGCGGTACCGCGAGCCGTCAGCAATGGTGCAGTAATGCAAAAATTGCACCGGCGATATTTTTGGTCAGATGTAAACACAGAGGTGCATAGTAATTAGTAGCGTAACAGTACTAACACAAATAGGAGTGTAAGTTGTAACCTCATAAATATTAGTCTTCAAAAGTTGTTTGATTTGTGCTCACCCGCTCACACACTCTCTGCTGCGCCTCGTTGCGTACGGCCAGCCAGAATATACTTATCACTCACAAATAGATGCCCCTTTGTTTTAATTATGTTTGCTTGTTTGAGACGCCATTTGTGATTTTTGAAAGTCCGGACTCGAAAAAATTTATTGCTGGTATGATGTGGTCAAATCAATTTTTCTATGCTATAACTGCATAAAATATTGGTGTTTTGAATGTTGGTGTAATCAGTGATATTTTCGCTGTCAGGTGAGACTATATTCAGCTATATTTAGTTTTTCTGAGCAAAATTCTCGCAATGATCGTTTTAATATAGCGAACATTAACGTTAACGTTACACAGCTGTATCTTTATTACTGTACTACCGGTATACCCCCTACTGGCGGGAGGGCGCACTTGATTCGGTTGCCAGTGAGTTTATCAGAAGAATACCCGGCTACAGTACACGTCAGTTGAGCGTTGTCGCTCTGCGGCACTTGTTCAAGTGATTAATGAAGCTAAATAATACCCAAAAGTGTATTGCGCATTTACACGTGCACTGGCATAATATATTACACTGGCATCTATTTTGAGGTGTCGCGTACCACTCCTCTCATACGCGCTGAGGACCCTCCACGGCAGTCATTCCACATATATTATATTATAACACAAATTACGCGTGTGTTGGCAATACCTTCCCATGAGGAATGCGATTTTTCAGGAATGTCAGTTGTTATATGTCGGTTCATGCGCGTACTGGTTAGCGGGTTAGATGCTGACTCAACAGAAAAACACTCTGCTGTCACTGAACAGTCTCGTCACGGTGATCATTTGATATCCTCTGTCGACCTTGTTAGCAGCCAGTCGTGGTACACCATTGCTTGCAGCAAATTGCTTGCGAATCTTTACCATTAAAGTATATACGTGCAACACAGCGCGTATTTCCTAGGGGACTTATATCGCGTAATCAAATATATAAATATCGTGATTGACTCGAAATTTCGCAATTTTCCATACGAACAAAAAGGTAAATGTGTGAGCCATGTGACTGTGACAACCGAAAACGGCGCGTAATACAGGGCTTCTGATGATTCTGTAATTCTAGCATGACTGATGATGAACCGGACAGCTCTCAGATCATGTTATTTCGACTCACGTACCAATCCGTACAACCTCATACTTCTATATGTTACTTTTTTTATTTGTTTTTTTTTTTTATTTGCTGCTGATTTATTTTAAACAGCGGTCACCTAGACTTACCCACTGCAAAAGTGTTGTTGATTGATATTAACAGGAGTGAATAATAGAGCTTCTTACTCATTTATTATCCTCTCTCTATTATTCTACTCTCGGTTATTTACTCCTGATGTTAATAATACTAACATACTAAACTAAATAACACATTGTTGCTATTACAAATTAATAAACCCGTCGAATTTCGCGCCCATTTCAACTATCGTGTGACTCTTGTGTTTGTGTTTGTGTGCTGCGTCGGGTTGCGGCTTGCTCGTAGCTGATCGGAGGACTGGCCGATGAGAAAGACAGGTGGGCGGACACTGTCAAAGAGCTCGACTTCCTTATCACCAATATAGTGGGCGACATTCTCGTATCTGCCGGCTCCATAGCCTACCTGGGTCCGTTCACGGTGCGTACAGCAGTAATCATATCGAGGGATTCTTAGTTATTTACTTATTTATTTATGCATTTCTTTATTAATTTATTTATGCATTTCTTTATTACTGCATACATATATTGAGGTCAGATATAATATATTCGCATAATCGTTTATCAATTCGTTGTGTCAAAGTATGTGAATATCGAAATGTTGTCAACCTATTAGAAACGCCTAGGGATGTGTGTGTGTGTGTGTGTGTGTGTGTGTGTGCGTGCGTGCGTGCGTGCGTGCGTGCGTGCGTGCGTGCGTGCGTGCAGTGCATTTGAGATCTGTAGCATTTATAGCACCCCTTTTTCTGGGCGAAATTGGAGCTGCCGACTGTCCAAGATAATGACGCTTACGGTTGCTATATTTATTACCTAATTTTATTTACTTACCAAGTTGTATGTTTTATTTTTCCATTAGTTATTTAAAATTTGCTGCGAGAAATTTGTGCATTGCGCGTTACCTAGTGAAGTAATCTGATGGTCTTATGTAACTATACGTGAATCAACCCGTTCTTAGAATGCGTCGAAATAAGGAACGCAAAAACTATACGAAAAACAACGTATTTATTGTCCGTCTATGTTGAAAAGTGTGTGCGATATAGTTATTATTAAAATATAATTTTTTTAAATAATTAAAATGTTTACAAAAACTTTACGATGGTGACAGGCGTGACAGATCGTGTATAGCCCTCACTCGCGCGTTCTTGTCAGCTGCTGACAGTGATAGCCAGCGTATATCCTCCTGTAGCTCATCAACCCCTGGTGGCGTTAGATGCACACGTACTGCGTCAAGCGTTAATTAAGGTTACCGCTCTCCCTTCTCAACTTGATGTGTGAACAAGAGACGCCGCTCTGTTATTCAATGCGTCACTAACTCATAGTACGTAAAACTTTCGTAATCGGATTACGTCAAAACGCGTAACTAATAAGTCAATCACGGCTCGTTTCACCAGGGACAAAGGGAAGCCGATGCATTGATTCACTCCCCGCCTGCACGCTGAAGGGTTTACCGCTGAATATGGACGGTTAAATTTCGTGCGACTGACTGGCTTTGGTTGTTAATTGTGCGCGCAGAAACAATTGAATACGTTCGTGATAAATGACGATTACCCGTCATTTTTACACGTACTGAGCTGCAGCTAGACCGCCGCAGGGAGGGCTAATCCATGTCATCGCTGATGGTAATGCTCCCATTTCATGCGTGTGCAGACTACCTTAATGCTACGGTATAGAATAGAGAAAATTGGTAAAATTGCATCTGTGATCATCAAAGGCGGGTGTTTATGGGATGAGGCGATGGAAGCGTGCGGTTTAGCAGCGCGTGTGTGCGTTGCTGATGAAGCAGCAGACCGTCGCAAATTGTCGCCGCACCGCATATATCCATGCAGCAAAGTTTATATGCGCCATCGATATTGAATGCGTGCACTATATGTATTGTGCGAAGGTCAGTTTTCCCAGCGATTAGTTATTATTGAGCGATTCTTGTCGAGAGAATAACGTACGTGACAAGCCACATTGTGGCGTTCTCTATAGACGTCGGCTTGAATGTGAAGGCAATCCATTAGCGGAAATGAGACGATAACGTGCCTTCGCGGTCGTGCGAAGTTTTCGTAACCTTGACGTTAATTATTACCCTCAGTTGCCTTCGTGAGCACCATTATATCGCGTCGTGCTATGCTCGGAATTCTCATCCTGTCTCCTCGCCACATTGTTAATATTCGTTTACAGCTTCGTCTTGTTCGGATTTGACCCTGACAGTCTATAGGCGACCGGCGACGTGGAGGTCAACCCGCGTTTTTTAACAGTTTAGTGAGAGAGCTGTGGTGGAGCACCACTGTGGTGAATGCATGTTTACTCCACCATTGAGCAATTCGTCGCCATTAGTGATCCGCGCAAACTCTTCGGGGTTACGGCTTTTCTATACACATCCGCTTTTATTGATCAAAATTATTTGAACGCGGCCTAATACACAATGCACTTATTTCTCGTAGCAATCTGTAGCCCATTGGTATTTTCTATGGCAGAAGTCTGTCTACTCACTAAGTATATGATTTTCCGGCATATGTCAGACAGACACAGTTCTCCCCCCTTGTCCCATTTTTTTGTCATTTACTGACATGTATTTGTGTGCGCGCGTGCGTCCGTGCGTGTGGGCATGTGTGTGAACCGGGATTGGATAAGGGGCTTGGTTCCATTCAATATGTCCAAAAGCGAGAAAGAGAGAGATTTGGAAGAGGAAATGAGAGCGAGAGAGAGAGAGAGAGAGAGAGAGAGAGAGAGAGAGAGAGAGAGAGAGAGAGAGAAACAGAGAAGGGCAGAGAGTGCGCGCTAGACAGAAAAAAATAACATAACTCGTGTTGCTCGCTCATTAACCGCTCTCCCCCACCCGCACCTCCACCACAGGGCGAGTACAGGGCGCAGTTGGTGTCCGAGTGGGTGGTGAAGCTAGCCGACATGCGTGTACCGCACACTAGCGCGCCGACGCTCATCGACACGCTCGGCGACCCCGTGCGCGTGCGCGCGTGGCAGATCGCCGGCCTGCCGCGAGACAGCCTCTCCGTCGAGAACGCCGTCGTCATGCAGTACTCGCAGCGCTGGCCGCTCTTCATCGATCCGCAGGGGCAGGCCAACAAGTGGATCAAGTGTCTCGTGAGTTGATGATAGCGAGCGAGGCTAGGTGTAACTCGTCCGCGAAGTTCTCCGCCCCTTATAACGATATACCCGTGTGTCGGCTGGTTCTTATAGCTGCTCTTATACCTGCCGCTGTGAAGCTCTTAATTGTCTCTTCTGTAAAGCTTGATTTGTTCCTTCTGTGAAGCTCTTATCTGTCTCCTCTGTAAAGTTTGATCTGTCTCCACTGTAAAGCTCGTATCTGTCTCTGCTGTAAAGGTCTATTTGTCTACCATGTAAAGCTCTTATCTGCCTCCGCTGTAAAGCTCTTATCTGCCTCCGCTGTAAAGCTTGATTTGTCCCTTCTGTAAAGGTTCATCTGTCTACCCTGTTACGCTTTATCTATCTCGGCTGCAAAGCTTTACCTGTCTTCTCTGTAATGTTTCATCTGTCTCTGCTGTAAAGGTTTATCTGTCCCTCCTGTAAAGGTTTATCTGTGTACCATGTAATGTTTTATCTATCTCCCCTGCAAAGCTTGACATGTCGCCTCTGCAATGCTCTACTTACCTTCTCTGTAAAGCTTTATCTGCTAGCTTATATATTAGCTATATAGGCTTTATCTTTATACTTATGTGCAGCTACTGCATTTGCGCGGTTCTAAGCTAATAGCAACCGGATTATTAGCTACGAATCGTTTCGGCGAGAAGTGGGTGAACATTGACTGCGGGGATGGATGACGAACGATAAACGTGTTAACTAATTAAAAGGGGCAGCACACGTCGACGTTAATATCGCATGAGATTTGTTGCGCATTACGTTGCAGAATAAATATTGCGCGTGACATTTCGTGGAAATTTTTGCGCATTACGTTCGTCCTGTGCTTTATATCTGCTGGAAAATGTTGCGCGTTATGGCACGTGGGAAATGTTGCGTATTATATTCGTGTGTAGTATTGCGCACTCTATCGCGTGCATAATGTTCACACACCCCGCACACGGTATTCAAACGTCCACACGTGCAAGAAAATATCAAACATCGATCGAGGGATTTTGCATCCGCACACGCTATGGAACTTGCTGCGCCACTTTATGGAAATGTTGCACGTTATGTCACCTGCCAAATGTTGCAAATAATATTGCATGTAAAATTTTGTTGATTGTTGTTTGATCAACGTGTTACACTATATTGCTTGTGATATGTTGTGCATTATGCCGCATATAAAATGTTGATTATTATATGCCTCATGTGAAATATTGCACTTTATATCACATGTAGAATGTTGCGCGTTATATTGCATGCGAATTGTTGTAGATTATGTCGTGTGCGAATTGTTGCACATATTGCATACAAAATGTTGCACTATATATTACTTGCCAACTGTTTCAAATTATATTGCATGTGAAATGTTGTACACTATATTGCATGCGAAATGTTGTACACTATATTGCATGCGAGATGTTGTGCATTGTCGCATATAAATTGTTGAATATTATGTCTCATGTGAAATGTTGCGCATTGGGTCGCTTGCCAAATGCTGCACATTATATTGCATGCAATATGTTTCACGTTATGTCGCGTATAATATGACACGAATTATGTCTCACGTGAAATGTTGCGCATTATGTCACTTGGAAAATATTTTGCTTCCAAGTTTTGGGCGTATTACATCGTGCGAGATATCATGTGCCGCGTATTGCGTCCTTTACACATGCTGTGTGTGCTCGCAGGAGAAAGATGCTGGAATCGACGTGATCAAGCTTTCTGACAAGGATTTCTTGCGAAGTCTCGAGAATGCAATAAGATTTGGCAAGCCCTGCATGCTGGAAAACGTTGGCGAGGACCTTGACCCTGCTCTAGAACCCGTGCTTCTGCGACAGGTTTGTGCAAAGATCGGCCCGCAATCGTCGCGTCACACACTTGTCCGCATTAGCGAAAAAAACGTGTGTGCCATGGGTTGTATTACAACATATCACACGTTTCCTATACCATCCGTCGTACCTCATATACTATAATCGTGTACGTGCGCGTGTGTGTGCGTACGTGCGTGGGTGTGTGTGCGTGCGCGTGCGTGTGCATGCTTGCTTGTGCGCGTACGTATGTGTGTGTATGTGCGTGTGTGTGTGTGTGTGTGGTGTGTGCGCGCGCGTGTGCGTGCGTGCGCGTGCCTGCGTGTCTGGCGGCTGAAGGTTGCTCATGCGAAATCTTTGTCTTGCGATAGACGTTCAAACAAGCCGGAAGTACGGTAATCAAACTGGGTGATGCCGTCATTCCTTATCACGATGACTTCAAGTTCTACATCACCACCAAGCTGCCGAATCCTCACTACACGCCAGAGGTCAGCACCAAGGTGACCATCATAAATTTCACCCTCGCACCAAGGTCAGTATATGTGCGTGTGTGCTTCCCGTACGCGTAGCAAACATAGTATAGTGTTCTATCTACGTCGGTATGTATGTAAATGTGGGCGTCTTCTCTCTTTTGGGGAATGTGGTTGTGACCGGAAGATGGATGTGACTTTTATATGTTACGATAGAAGAAATGACAGTGATGCTTTGTGGGTTGTAAAAAAATGTTTAATCTCTAATGTGACATGTAGATGAGAAATGCTGATGATTCTGATATTCGCTAATGTTATATGTAGTGCATTCATTCGTGCTTTATACCTTTATACTCGTAATTGAAAAATGCATTGAAGCGCAAAATATTGACAACATTTTTCTCTGAATACTCTGAATACACTGAATAGAATATTAGTCATTTTATTATGATGTTACTGAATATTAAAATTATAATAATATTGAACACAAAGAAAAGTCATAAATATAAAAACCTCATTGCAAATTCAGTTCAAAATCTACTGCGAATCGATTTAATCTCACACGCTAAAAATCGTGTATGTAATTTTAAATCTCATTGTAGTATGAATATAGAATTATGACCGAACGATTTGACTATAGTTGTCTGTCTAGTAGAGTAATCGTTTGACATGACTAGATTATTATATAAATGGCCATGAACACATTTCTCTGTGCATTGTGAAGGATGCGCATTATGCGAAGTTCGCTCGCTTTGTGAACGCTGCTTCGTTTGTGAACGATGCTTGCTTTGTGAATGCTGATTACGTTTGATCGATTCTTGCTTTGTGAACGCTGCTACTTGCTTTTGTGAATGCTGCTGCTTGCTTTTGTGTATGGCGTGCACACTGTGAATGGGATGCATGCTCTAATCCGCCTGCGTCTCTACGCACTCCACGTAATCAATGTGATTCGCCCACAATGCAGCGGCCTTGAGGATCAGCTGCTCGCCCTTGTCGTCGCCGAGGAGAGGCCTGACCTTGAGGAAGCCAAGAACCAGCTGATCGTCTCCAACGCGCAGATGAAGCACGAGCTGAAGGAGATCGAGGACAAGATCCTCGCAAAGCTGAGCGCGTCCGAAGGAAGCCCCGTCGACGATGTCGACCTCATTGCGACCCTCGGCGCCTCCAAGGTCAAGTCTCAGGAGATTTCGGTGAGTGGGTCACGTTAGAGTTGCGTTAGCCTGGTATAATCCACGTTAGAGTCGCGTTAGCCTGGTCTAATCTGCGTTAGGGTTGCACTAGACTGGTCTAATCCCTGTTAGGGACGCACTAGCCTGGTCTAATCCATGTTAGGGACGTGCTAGCATGGTCTAATTCGCGTGAGGGACGCGCTAGCCTGGTGTAATCCACGTTAGGGTCGCACTAGCCTGGTCTAATCCGCGTTAGGGTCGTGCTAGCCTGGTCTAATCCACGTTAGGGTCGCACTAGCCTGGTCTAATCCGCGTTAGGGTCGCACTAGCCTGGTCTAATCCACGTTAGGGTCGTGCTAGCCTGGTCTAATCCGCGTTAGAGTCGTGCTAGCCTGGTCTAATCCACGTTAGGGTCGCACTAGCCTGGTCTAATCCACGTTAGGGACGTGCTAGCCTGGTCTAATCCGCGTGAGGGACGCACTAGCCTGGTCTAATCCACGTTAGGGTCGCACTAGCCTGGTCTAATCCACGTTAGGGACGTGCTAGCCTGGTCTAATCCGCGTGAGGGACGCACTAGCCTGGTCTAATCCACGTTAGGGTCGCACTAGCCTGGTCTAATCCACGTTAGGGACGTGCTAGCCTGGTCTAATCCGCGTGAGGGACGCACTAGCCTGGTCTAATCCACGTTAGGGTCGCACTAGCCTGGTCTAATGCGGAAATTTCATTCGGCTGGCATGCGCTATTATCGGCTATTATCGCCTCGGGTTGAGATACGGTATCACCCTTTAATATATAACGTATAGACTAGTGGGTAAAATCTTGTGTAATACCGCCGCATTGCGGCATATATGGGCATTGCACTGCCTCATAGTGGCATTTGAAGAACTTCTATAATAAAAAAAGGTAAATGATATATACAATTATAAAAATGTTCACGCAATAGAGCACTAAAATAGTATTTCTAATTGTATTAAAATTATAATCCTGAAAGCTTACCACGCTTGACGTATAGGGGATGATGCTCTATTAGGAGCGGTCCATACTTGATATATTTTTGATATAAAAGATATTAGAATGGCCTGCGACATTCATCTCGTGCGATCTATTGTGCATGGGATGCTGTTTATAGACGATAATTCTCTTATTGAATCAAACATTATGATTGCAGTGAGTCAGTATCAAACAATTTCAACCAGTAACGCAATCACTTTGATCCGATTTACTTTAAACGCAATTTCCATGCGAATAGACGTCGAATGTTGTAAACGCTACTATAAGGCCTACTATACTCACTACTATACGGCCGGTGATCTCTATCGTTAAGCTGGCAGCTTGCATGACAACTACGTGCTACTACGCAGTGACGCAGATAGCGGGTTCGTGAGGCGGGGGGGGGGGGAGGGGGGGGGAAGCCTTTGTAACCAATTACCACCAAAACCCGATTCGTGTCGCATCCCATCTCGATAACCAATAAGGCGATCGCTCTATGGCATGCATCGAGAACAGACGCAACTATTACATACCGATCTATAGCGCGACCCTAACGTGGATTAGACTGGGCTAGCGCGACTCTAACGCGGATTAGACCAGGCTAGCGCGACCCTAACGCGGATTAGACCAGGCTAGCGCGACCCTAACGTGGATTAGACCAGGCTAGCACGTCCCCTAACGTGGGATTAGACCAAGCTAGTGCGACTCTAACGTGGATTAGACCAGGCTAGTGCAACTCTAACGTGGATTAGACCAGGCTAGCGCGACTCTAACGTGGATTAGACACGCGCTAGTTGTGACCCTAACGCGTATTAGCGACCAGGCTCAATGCGACCATAATGCGATTAGACCAGGCTATAGTGCAACCCTCACACAATTTAGACCAGGCTAACGCGCTCTAAACGTGGATTTAGACCAGAGCTAGTGCAATCTGACGTGGATTAGACCAGGGCTAGCACGACTCTAATGCAGGTTAGACCAGGCTCTAGCACGTCCCTAACGCAGATGAGACCAAGCTTAGTGCGACTCTAACGCGGATTAGACCAGGCCTAGCATCGACTCTAACGTGGATTATACCAGGCTAACGCGACTCTAACGTGGATTATACCAGGCTAGCATGACCCTAACGCAGATTAGACCAGGCCTAGCATGATTCTAACGTGGATTAGACTGCGGCTAGTGCGAACCCTAACGCAGATTAGCAGCCAGAGCTAGGCACCCTAACGTTAAAATCTAGACCTAGGACTAACGCGACTCCTTAACGTGCAATCTAGACCAGGCTAGTTGCGACCTAACGCCGATTAGACCAGGCTAGTGCAACCCTAATGCGATTA